ACAAGTCTTGAAAACACTGAAAACGAATAAAGTCTAATCATGAAAATCAACGTTGAGATTGCAGAAAGTGTAAGCATTAACATTGTCGAGAATCCTTATAATCAAGCAAAAAACGAGATTAACGACCTGATTAAGAACTGCAAGTCAGTTAAGACGAAATTTACAAACGGTCAGTTGCGTATCGTTTTAGACGCGACACCCCTGTACATTCACGTCTGCGTAGTGCATTATATTATTTACAATCAAATCGAGTAGTGGCTAAGGATGTAATCGACGAGAACTCTGAGTCTGAGTTCAACAGTCCGGTCGTCCTAGTAATAAAACGCGACTATTCAGCGGCTATGCATTAATTACAAAAGGAAGGAAAGTTTTCTAGGTACGAGTCATAGTTAGGGGAGTTAGATGATGTGCATTAATGTATGCCACCTGTTTCGAGATATGTTATACAAAATATAATTATGCAAAAAAATCGGTGCCGTGAGAGGCCGAGAGATTTTTTCTATTATTTTTTTTAGCAGCGCTGCGACTTTGTGGTGTCAGCGATAGAGAACGAAATGAAATGGGCCAAGCCGAGCGGTCGGCGACTCGCGAGCGCTTATCTCGGCTTGTCCTATAAATAAACATGATAATTCAGCATACAGTGATGCTGAACAATTGTAAGCCTTAATTCTCGTATTAGCGAGATGACTTCCCCCGTTGGAAGAACCATACTTTCAAGCGAATTGGTTTCCAGGGGATAGTTAGCTAATTTCCTTGTTGCCCACTTCCACAATCCGGAACGGATTGACAGCAGCTTAAGCCTTCAAAGTGCGGAGAACGAGGAGGGATGAAATTCCACTTGATTTCCATCGACGTAAGGGAACTCCAGATCTCGCTGTGTTGAGGATCGCTAAGGAACAGCTAAAGCAGCTCAATAAGCTCGTTCTTAGCTCCCACAAAATTGGTTGCGTTGTCCGACCAAATGGTTTGAGGCTTTCCCCTCAGACTTATGAATCTTTTCAGAGCTGCAACAAACCATTGTGTTGAAAGATCCTCGACGACTTGCAAATGCGTAGCCTTAGTGGCGAAACAAACAAAGATGGCTACGTAGCATTTTATAGGAGGCCTGTTTCCTCGGACTGTGAATAGAGACCGCAAAAGTCCACTGCAGCGATGACAAATGGGCGGTTCGGCTGAACCCGATTCTCTGGGAGTGGTACCATGATGTGCTCTACTAGTTTGGGCCTTAATTTAAAGCACTTAATGCACTTGTTGATGACAGCAGATACCGGTTTTCGCCCTCCAATAGGCCAGAATCTCTGCCGTAGAGCGGCTAGCAAGCTCTGCGCCCCTGCATGTAAGAACTTGCGATGAAAATGATCAATGATGACTGAGGATAGGTAATGAAGGAAGGATCATTGGGAGCTTGTCATCGAAGCTTGGCATCGTCCGCCGGCGCGCATGATACCTCCTTCATCCAGAAACGGGTTTAAAGAAAGAAGCTTGCTCTTGGTTGAAAAGCTGAAGAGTAAACTATCCGATAGGGTATCCTAAGCTAATTTAGCCTCGAGTGCCTTAAAACGATGGTGGGAAGGTTTTGGTTGAAATAGCTGCTCGCATATATCATTTTCCTTCGACATGATTGTTGTAGTATCAGAGCCACTTCTCTTTAATGTGTCAGAAATTGACTCAGGCTCAGACTGAGTCAAGAACCCTTCTTGAATCGAGGTAACTGAAGATGAACGCGTAGAGGCTCCTACATTTGCACACCCTGATCGAGATTTTCCGGTATTTTCCACTCAGATAAGTTAAGGTCCAACTGTGGGTGATAATCGGTGATTGACCGAGTAACGGCAAGGGACGTGCTGTACTCGGCATCAGCGGATTGCGCGAAAATGTTGACCGACTTATCCGATGCTAAAGAGGACTCGCCGAGGACTTGCCCAGGTGGTGGTATGGGCAAGGCTACAGAAACTAAAGATGAGCTATTCGGCGGCATTTCAGGACCAGGCTGAGGAAGGGTTGCAATAGGATTCGATTGCATATGCATAAGAGTATGGTAATTCTAGTGGCAGTTCCTACAGTTGTCAGATGTGCATTGCCGTAAGCCGTGTCCCTTCCGTAGGCAATTTAAACAAAGTTACAACCTTTTTGCTTCGTTGTAGCGCTGAGTTGAAGGCAATCATAAAAGTTGTGGGAAATTCATCAAATAATGCTCCCTTGCCTCACATAGTACACACGATGGCAATGTCGAAGCCGAAGCAATAAGTGCGGTGCGATGATTTCTACTAGCTACATTTCCCACCTGTTTGCTAGGTGTGTGCTCTACCATAGCGCATTCCAAGTTATCCATAATGCGGCACCGAAGATCTTAAAATGTGGAAAATTTGTCCCAATTCGGCAGCTCATTTGCAGGCAACCCCTCTTCCCATGTTCTGATGGTCCAGCTTTGGAGAAATGAGATGGATCAAAACACCGTCAAGAATTTCCTGCGTAGTTGCCATAGTACTAAGGTCGCGCAAAAGTGAATTGCCTTGTCGCTCAATTACCGCAAACCACTTGCTGATCCCTTCTCCACACCTGGTAGCTTGAATAATGTCAAAGTCGGAATTCATCCTCTCGACTAACTCTAACCCCACCTGCAATTCGCTGTCATCGAATTTTTCCAACTGTTCATCACTCAAGAATGAACTTAATGCCGCAAGTTGACGCGCCACGGAGTTTGACTTTGCCCGATAAAATTCTTCGTTATCTGGGGCACGTTGCACAATCTCTCTTTTATTTGCTTTCGAAATTTCGAATTATTTTCGGAAAGGGTATACAACAGTTACTACGCGAACTTTTCGATGCACTCGACTAACGGCGACGAAAGCGAGAATAGAAGTAGCGGGTAGAACGGAACTGAAAAACAAAAAACCTCCGCTTAGCAACCGAAATTGTGTAACACTCGGCGTTATGCAAAGTTTTCGAAATGTAAAGCAGGCGATGCTGACTGCAGCTTTGGTTTGTAGGTATAAGCGAATACCATACAAGCGATGCGAATTGAGTTTATTGACCTTTACACCGAATTGTGTGTTTCTTAACTTTCACACGCGTTCACGATCACGTCGGGGTCACCAAATGTTTTGAGGGGCATTAATTTATGCAACCTGTTTCTAGATATGTTTTACAACATATAATTATGCAAAAAAAATGCGGTGCCGTAAAGGGTGCGAAAGAAAAGACCGAGACATTCTTTCTATTAATTATTTTAGCAGCGCTGCGACTGCGTGTTGATAGCGATAGAAAACGATATGTAATGGACCAAGCCGAGCGATCGGAGACTCGCGAGCGCTTATCTCGGCTTGTCTTATAGATAAACGAGATAATTCAGCATACAGTGATGTAATTCTAACCCTTAATTCTGATATTAGCTAGATGACAGACAGAGTGTTTAAATATAGTACAGATTCATATAATAACATATACTACTTTATAAGATCAAGTTACCTAGATTCCAAGTTATCTACGTTTTAAAATTGAAAACTATATTGGGTTTTCTAAAGATTAATATTAAATTGCCTGGAAATCAGCAACGCAAACAAATTCCTCAGGCAACCAAAGTTACTGTAAATTGACGGTAAAAAAGTGAGTTCTTAGATTTTTCTTAGCTCTGGGCTCACGATAAAATCATGTATGATAAGATCTGGTAATGCATTTTAATTGTTGGAGCCCAATTTAGCAATTTTAGAGCGGTGAAAGAGCAAGGTTGAAAGTTTATTTAACATCTGTATTGTTTGGATATCGGCTATCTCTATCGACTCCTCTTGTGGTTCCGCATGAGCACCTATTATTTTGTATATTGCCAGAAAAAGAAGTTTAAGAATTACGATCTCATATTTTTATAGCCGTTACTAGTAGAGTGAAAGGCTATACTAGATTGGTTTAAAAGTATGTAAGAGATAGAAGGAAGCGTTTCCGACCCTATAAAGTATATATATTCTTGATCAGGATCTATAGAAAAGTCGATTGAGCCATGTCCGGTTGCCCGTTTGTCCATCTGTCCGTCCGTATGCACGCTGAGATCTCAGAAAAACGATTCTTGAGGTCCATAAGCAGCTTATTTTAGAATCCTCCACACCCACTCCAACACCCATAAATCACAAAAAATCGCTCAAATATGAGGAACTATTAGAGCCAGCAAGATGAAATTATGTATGTATAATCTTGAGATGCCAGCGCATCTTGTGATGGTATTGTCCGGCCACACCCACTCTTACGCCGACCAAGCTCGAAAGATGTGTTTCGCATTTTGTATCTCGGTAACTATAGGTGATAAAAAGTGCCGATTAAGCATATAGGTTTTTATGATGCCCCGAAACTGCGGCGTCCATAATATTATAATGATATAAGTTTTCTGACAATAGGTGGCGCTTAGTAAATTTATACTAGCAAAATACATTTTTTTAAATTGTGTAAAACAGTAACTGGTATATTATAGTTACGGCACTCGACTACAGCTATTCTTCTTGTTTTTAATTTTGCACACATCGTAGTCAATTTGTACCGTTCAGTCTTCTTAATTATACTATATTATACTACTACTTTACAAGACAGGAAAAAACCATAAAATAAAGATATCAGAAAAATAGAAACTATGTTGGATAACTCAAGAAATTGCAACGTTCTATCTCTTATAGTTCCTGAAATAAATAATCTTATAAAATAAGGACAATTGTACGCGGTTTGTGGGCGTAAAGTAGGCGCCGACGGATGGTGAAGAACTCAGGATTTTTACTAATTCCTCTTTTATGGATGAAGAGTAAGCGTGTACATATATACATATAAGACGAGAATAATCGAGTTTTTGGATATTATTTCGTACTTCCATAGATTGGCCAATACACCATTTTTTTAATTTGGCTCTTCAACGAAGGCGTATTTTAATGTTTGAAACGCATTTATTAAAATATGTAGCGCCAATAAACTTTATTAATAAAATAAATAATATAATAATAAAACAATAAAATTCTATACTTTACCTCTCGAGTGACAATAAATCCAGCAGTCAAAGGCGAAATAAAGGACGCAGACATATGAATTGTTTGACAAAATGCCAAAACGGCAGCCGAATGTCCATAATTTGGGGCTAAGTCAATTATATTAGCCATTGCTCCTGCATAAGATGCAGTTATAAATATGACTGCTATAAACCACACTGTTAACAAAATGTTTACATTATCTATATAACCGATACAATACAATAAAAGCCCTGGAATTATTTGGGATATAGCTGTAAATAATTTCCTTACATTAGTAAGACTTAAAACTTTAAATAATACCAATTTATCTGCAATATAACAAAAAACCACTGATGAAATATATGAGCAAATAAATGGCATTCCAGTTATAAAACCATTTGTTTCAAAATTAAACTTCAAAACATTCCCCATAAATGTTGGTCCATTGACAATAAAAATATAGTGAACATATATTCTACCAAACGTTGTTATAGCAATGGCCCAAGCTGGCAATGATTTAAATATTTTTAACCAAGGTACTTTAATTTTATCTGAATTGTTTACTCCTTTTTTCACATTAATTTCTATATAATTGAGCTCTTTTTCAGATATTCGAGGGTGTTCACGAGGTGTATTAAAAGCAAGTAAATACCAAAATATACACCAAACCATCCCTACGGTTCCGGTTGTATAGAAAACAAATGGCCAGTCAAGTTCTGATAAAATAAAACCACACAACGGGTATGTTAATCCTATACCAATGCTAAAACCTTGAAAACTTGACATAAAACGTGAGCGTTCTGTAAGTGGTATCCAATAGCCAACTATTGCATACATGGCAGGCCACGTCAGGCCAGAAGCAAATCCCTGTATAGACCGTAACACAATTACAGCTATGTAATGCAAGTGTGCTGCTAACGGCATCAGAATACTACAAAGAGCTGTTGCGAACTGTGACCATCCAAATACACATTTAGTTCCAAACAGTTCTGTGGCAACCCCTCCAACTACCTGGGATAACACGTAGCACCAATAAAAGGAACTTATAATTACAGATTTTACAATAGTTATTTGTTCCTCATTGCTACTACTCTGAAAACATTATAAAAAAAATTATTTAATGTTTATAGCTTTAAAATGATTGAAATATTACCAAAATTCTTTGAGATCCGTTAAGAGATTGGTGTTGCGTTGAATTGTTACTTGAAGTCATAGCTACCAAAGCGAAATTCATATCGTTGCGCATCATAAAAGAGACCAGAAAACCAGACCAAGAAAGGAAATAAAGCACTAAGCGAGCCGGAATTCTTTCTGTAACCAAAAATAAAAAAATAATGAACATTGGTTTAATATTTTTGTAATTATTTTTAACAATTTCATAAAAATCCAGTTAATAAAGCTCCATTTTATGGCTCATACTTAAGGATGTTTACGTCACTGTTCATGTCAGGCCTGATAACCAAAATTTCTTAATAAATAGCGAAATAATGTAATGTAATGTGGTATTCAAAAAAATACCACATTCACATACCGAGATTTAAGAGTTTTTGGGTTTCCGTAATTTGTGGGCGTTAAACAGGTGTGAAATGAGATACGGAAAATGGAGAGATGGTGAAAAAATAAAACGCATTTGGGGCATCATTAGAAACTACATGCTTAATCCAAACTTTCTATCACTTATAGTTACCGATATCTCAGCGTTTCTTCAAAGAGTGAAAACCGTGTTTCGAGCTTGGTGGGCGTGGACGGATAGTGGTTTCATCTTAAGCGATGGTATCTGAAGATTGTACATATATAATCTCAATCTTTTTAGCTGAGTTCCTGAGATTTCAAAGATTTATCTTTTTCGTGATTTGTGGGCGTTAGAGTGGGCGAGGCAGTATGCTGGAAAAAACTTGCGCTGCCTGATTAATTTCAACTTTGTATCTCGGACCAATGGACAGAAGAACGGGCGAATAAACGGATTTGGCTTACTCGACTTCGCTAATAATACTGATCAAGAATGGTGTCGGAATTGCTTCCTTCAACCTGTTACATACTTTTTATCGAATCTAGTATCCCCTTTTTCTTTACGAGAAACGGGTTTAAAAATAATACACTTAATGAATATCTTAAGGAGAAAGGTAACGTTAAGTTAGATTATAAGATAAAATAATTTTCAGCTTTTGAATACATATTATAATAATAAATAATATATATATTATATAAAAAAATAAGGGAGATGAATGCATATAAAGGAACGGCCGTAGACGGCCTTATTCCTGAGAACGAGAAGTTATTTATGTTTACCGGCCGACGGCAATGATTTATGCTATCCTTTAGCTCATCAAGGGTTTACGGATAGCAGGCATAAACTTTGCTCTTCAATTAACCCCAATACACTGCTGATACAGGTTTTTTTATGATATCTTTGCTTTTATTTATTGAATCTACTCCTAATTTTGAGACTAACAATAAATTTACACATCTTAACATTAAAATTTAACTAACGCGTCCCTCAAGTCGGTCACTGGGTGGGTAAGTCATTGCGACGAAGACGTGATTGGTTGCTCAAACTTGTTAGAGCTCTCGCCAGGTGGTTAAGGTTAGCTTGCTAAAGTAGTTTTCCTTCTTTTCTGCGATCACTTCTTTGACTGGTAGAATGTTTAGGTCGCGGTGTATGTTTTCGTTGCGAACGTACCTCGGTGCCCCGGTGATTGTTCTCAAGATCTTCGAAAGAATGTCAATATTGCCATTGCTGGCGCTCCCCCATAACTGGGAGCCGTACAACCATATAGGTTTTAGTACCGAGTTGTACAGCAGGACTTTATATTCAAGGCTAGGAGGAAACCGATCGTTGATAAGCCAATGAAGACTGATGGCTTTTAGCTTTAGGTGTGTTCTTTTGGCTTCAATGTGCCGGCGCCATGTGAGTCTTCTGTTGAGATGTAATCCAAGGTATGTTACTTTGCTTGCGGGAGTAAAGTGTTGTTCAACGTAAGCGGCGGGCAGTTGTGCCTGTTCAGGGTGAAAGTAATGTACTTGCACTTTTGTTCGCATTGCCCAGATGAAGCTAGCTGCGCAGTTGCTTGCATCGGGCATTTTGAGTATCATCTGCAAACGTAGATATTGTTAGCCGTGTGCTTGTCGGGCCGTCTGCTGTGTAGAGAACATATAATATTGGCCCTAGCACGCTACCTTGAGGAACTCCAGATCGAAAAGATCAGATATATCGAACCTCACAACAAATTTTCTGTCGTAGACAGACTCTAAAAGCTTGTGGTTGCTGTAGGGGAGCCAGACTGCCAGAATATGGCACTACAGTACTCTCGTTTTTCGAACGCGTTCCGGATTTCTGATGTTATCCGGTTCACCTGCTCAATTGTTCCGTGCTCATTATGCATTTTTCAAAGAGTTTATAGGTCTATACGACGTGGGTTTGTGTGGTCTATTCCCGGCTTTGCTATCATTATTATAATTGACTTCCATCTCACTGGAATGTGGCCAAGTTTTGCCATGGCATTGAAAAGCTGGTTGAGAGTCCAAACGGCGCAATATGGGAGCTTAATGATCATTGTTTTAGTTATGAGGTGCAGCCCGGCGGTTTTTTAAAACATAATAAACAGCTTTGAAACAAAAATAATTTAAATAAAAACAAAAAAATCAGCAATAAACAATAAATAAAAACAAGAGAGCAAAAAAAAAAAAAAAAAAAAAAAAAAAAAAAAAAAAAAAATTAAAAAAAAAAAAAAAAAAAAATAAAAAAAAAAAAAAAATTAAAAAAAGTTAGAGGTGGGCGTGGCTGCGTAGGGAACTTAAGAATGTGGCTCAATCGACTTCGCTATTGATCCTGATCAAAAATATATATACTTTATAGAGTCGGAAACGCTTCCTTCATACTATTCAACGAATACCCTTTTACTCTACGAGTAACGGGTATAAAGGGCGTAACGGAGTAATATGAGGAAAGATATAAATACAGAAGATAAAGGAGAAAATGAAAATTATGATTTTGACAGCAGTCATTTGAGTCGAGAAAATATATGGAATATATATATGCCTCCGAACCAAAAAAAAAAAAATTTAATTAATGTATTGAGATTAGGGAACAGTATACTAAAAATTATTGATAAGATTAACTTGTCTAGTGGTGGTATGTGGTTATAATCCAAATCCTGCTCTGTACTCTCTAATATTTTATAAACAACCCCAAAATGATAATGATCATTATTTAGAAATATATAAAAATATAATTTTAGAAAGATATATAAATAGAATTGGTTAAAACGTGAATAATCATATTAAGGGTTTTTCTTAATAACAGAGGAATTGCGAATGGAAGGATTATTCTTCAATTGGAGTATATATATTAAATTCAAAAAAGTCTTTTATATTTTATCATCATGTCTGTTTGACAACGTCAACCGTAACAACAACAACAACTGCAACTGTAACGACAGCGCGATTAACGACGTCATTATCTAGCAGCGCAAACATTAGTACTTCTGCCGCTGCGCTGCCCGAAAAAGAGGACAAAAACAAAAAAAATATTAAGCCGGCTGTGCAGACTGGTATGGATCGCTACATCCAAATCAAAAGGAAGCTAAGCCCCCTAAATTCTCAACGCAAAATAACCCGTGGCAATGCTAACACAGCTGCAATAGAAACGCCCTCTAACTCAAACCGTTTTAAAATCTTGGCAGAATATAAGGATGATGCTGAATCTACTGAAGTCGAAAAAAGGAAGACTAAGCCCCCGCCAATTTACACACGAGAAAAAAGTTCCAACGTTCTGGTCAACCAAATTATAGATCTTATTGGCAAGGACAATTTTCACATAATACCACTCGTAAAGGGCAACATCCAGGAAACAAAAGTTCAAACGAAGTCTGAAGATAATTACAGAGTATTATAAAAATATCTCACCGACAAAAAAAAGAACTTTTATACGTATCAGCTAAAAAGCAGCAAGGGCCTGCAAGTAGTACTTAAGGGCATTGAGTCCGAAGAATCGCCTGCAGAGATAACAAAGGCGCTACAAGAGAAGGGATTTAGCGGTAAGACAGTCTTCAATATCCTTAACAGGGATAGAAAGCCGCAGCCACTCTTTAAGGTTGAGCTCGAACCAGAAATTAAGCCCCTAAAGAAATACGAAGTGCACCCTATATACAATCTTCAGTTCCTGCTGCACCGCAGAATTACGGTTGAGGAGCCCCACAAACGCAATGGCCCGGTGCAATTTGCGAACTGCCAAGAATTTGGCTATACAAGGTCTTACTGTAAACTGCGCCCGGTGTGTGTAGTTTGTGGTGAGCTTCATGACTCCGCACACTGCCCAGCGAGCAAAGATGACCACAACTCAAAAAAGTGCGGCAACTGCGGTGGAAATCACACTGCTAACTATAGAGGTTGCCCAGTTTATAAGGAGCTGAAAAATCGAATCCACCAGAGGGAAATTACTGCCAGCACCCAAAATAAACAGTTGATAGCCTCCAGGTCAAAGCCTGAAGCCCTCTTCTTGACTGCAGCCACTAGGACCCATAAACTCTGCCAAAAATATTACATACGCAAGTGCTTTAAAATCAGGACTGTCTACCCCAGCCTCAAAAAGCTCATTGCCTGCTGATTGCGGCAAGAACCGAACACGGCTCAGCAGCATCAACCGCCAGAGCAGCCAAAAAGTAACTTTGAAGCTATGATATGCAGTCTACAACAAAGCCTTACGGAGTTTATGTCGTTTATGCGTACAACTATGCAAGATCTGATGCGAAACCAAAATCTATTAATACAAATGCTGGTTTCACAACAATCCAAATAATGACTTTCCTACGAATATCTACGTGGAACGCTAACGGCGTTTCGCAGCATAAACTCGAGTTAGCGCAATTCCAACTAGACAATCAAATCGACGTAATGCTGCTTTTAGAAACACATCTTACAAACAGATACAATTTTCAACTACGAGGATATTCATTCTATTGAACAAACCATACAGATGGTAAAGCACACGGCGGGACTGGAATTTTAATCAGGAGCCGTATTAAGCACCATTATCATACGAAATTTGCTAAAAACTACCTACAGGCCACATCCATAAATATACACCTAAATACTGGCAAGCAATTAATGCTAGCCGCCGTATACTGCCCCCTATGCTTCACCATAGCCGAAGATGAGTTTATGCAGTTTTTCAACTCACTCGGAGACCACTTCATAGCAGCAGGAGACTACAATGCTAAGCACACACACTGGGGATCTCGTCTCGTGACTCCAAAAGGAAAGCAGCTCTAAAATGCAATTATCAAAGCCAAGAACAAGCTCGACTATGTTTCCTCTGGCACACCAACATACTGGCCGGCAGACCCAAAGAATCTTCTGGATTTAATAGACTTTGCGATTACC